AAAGGTACACTCTGACTTTGGCTACATTGAGGCACATCTCGGCGAAATCACTTGTTGTTTTTGTTGATAAGTTACAGCATCCATTTCGAATAAAAAACCGAAATACTATTTACTTTGTCCACTTTGGGCTTCTGTATAAACGCGGTGCTCCAACATGGCATCTGTGAGGAAGCCCTGTCATATCTTTGGGTGAGTTTATATAGTCATGGGGCCATCAAATTATTTAATCTATAAAAATAATTCAATGTCCACCACTTTTACTAGTTTCTAACACTGTTCTTAGGGTCAGATAACAAAAATACCGAAGTAGCCAGAAGCATGTTTAAGAGCATGTTAGTATTTAAAATTCTTCAAATAGCCGAAAGCTAACTAAAAGGTTAAAACAAAGCGTAACGGAATATTAGCAAACATAACTAAACGGCTAAACAGTTACAAAAAGTACACTAGTAGCTCTAGCTTTAATTAGCAGAATAATCAGAAAGGAAAAAAGTCTAAATAAAGAAAACCAGAATTGAAAAAAAAGTTTCAGAAAACATTCTTAATTGGAAATTGATCTTAAAGTTATAACAATTATCACTTTGACTAATATATAACTATATATATAGTTTTGTATACTGTACTTTATATACCAATTGTACATATTCTATTTCTTACAATGTAAACTGTAGACTGTCTTTATGTTACATTATAGACTCTCATTATGTTACATTATAGACCATCTTTATGTTACATTATAGATTGTCCATGAAATAATATACAGCTCAAAAACAGTTTTAAACACACTTAAAAATGAGACAGTGTACTTTACGTGTTTTTGTAGTAGAGGTCAGTAACTTCAAAGTCACTAAAAGTGCAGAAGTTAGACCTGCAGGTAAAATTTCACTAATGGACCATATGTGAATGTGAGTGTGAATGCTTGGTTGGACACACACACACACACAGACACACACTCACTATTAGCTTTTTAAAGTTAGCTTCCAACAATGTTGTTTTACTTATTCCTATTTCTTTTGACTATTTCCAAATTAATAATTTACTCTTCCAACTGTTTCACATTAAAGTGCTAATTAAAGAGTAAACTAATTATAGCTGAGTTTTAGTCATCTCTGGGCTAACTAAATATTTTATAACCTAGTTATTGTTTTCTCTTTTATCCTCTTTGTTAACATTAGGCAACTAAACTGAAGCTACATTTTTGAAAATCTTGTACTTTATCAGTCTTGTATTAGGTTACATTTAATTACCCCAAATAATTAAATGGCTTTGCATTATTTATTTATTTTCATTTGTAAGAGTTTAACACAATCTATTGAAAACTTAAAAACTGTTAATGTGAGAAACTCTTCTGGAATGTCATGATTCAGTACCAATTATTCCCAGGTTAATCTTAATCTTTGAAGCTCTGACTACAAAAACAAAGACAGAATAAACTGGTAAATAAAGGTTCTGAGAAGGTCAAAGGTGATTTTGGCTAAGCTGCTAATATCTGACTCAGTTGAAGTCTGCTGGTACTGATCCAGGACAGTCTTCTCTCTGTCCTCTGTCCATAAACATTACACTCTTCAATGAAGTAGGAGGACTGGGGATTTGACCCTACGACCTGTCCCTGATGCTGATCAGGAAACTACTTTGATTAAGGAGGTCAACTGTCATTTTTCCTGCTGTGACATGGGGCGTTACGGCAAACAGGAAATAGTTGAGCAGCAACCATAAAATCCATTTATGACCTTTTACAACACAACACCAGCGCTAACACTCAGGTGGATATCCAAACCCAGGTGAGACGCTCCAGTCGTTGGTTTTTATTCTGCACAAAGAAAACACTTTCATCGGAACTGAAAATAATGAGTTCTACTTAGAGGTCACCAAACTGGATTCAAATGTTGCTGCTAATGTTGTTGGGGCAGCTCTTAACCTTTCTGCTGGTGTTTACCCACGACTGGGTCCACGGAGCCAACGACTGTGGAAATGAAAGCTACACTGAAAACTGTAAGTGGAATAAATAAAAATTTACTTTGACTTCTTCTTAGAACGTTTTGGCAAATTGTAACTAATTTGAGTTCTTGATTTCACTAGCTTCAGGCTAAAATGGCTAAAAGATAGCTTAAGCTTTTTGCATTGTTCTGTGTTTTGAAGCTGTTTAGGAGTATCCCTCAGTTCAGCCTTTTACCAGCTAGCATTTGGCTAACCTTGAGCTTGTTTCCATACCTTTTTATCTATCTGTGTAACTTTCAATAACATTTGGCTGCTGATCATGTTCCTACAATAGCCCTGATTCCAACACTGTTTAAACGCCTTGTTTTACACGGAAAAATACATCGATCTCTGACAGACACACACCTTTGTAGTTCATGTTTTTTCATCAAGGATCTTAAAATTAGAATATACTTACTAAATATACTTACTCAATGTACTTACTCAATATACTTACTAAATATATTTACTAAATATACTGACTAAAAAATCTGACTCTGATCACAGGTTTCACCTATAAGATCTGTACATTTGAGGAAGGGTTCTGTGACCTGATTCAAAGCTCACAGACATCGTCTGTCTGGATCAGAACCACTGAAGTCCCTGGACTGAACCACGGCCAAACCAACCACACAATGGGTCAGAGCTAGTGTTTTTTGGTAAGTTTAAAATTTAAACCTGAATCACTCTATGTGGTTGACATTTCACCTCCTATGTCCTTCAGGTTATTTCTTATCTTTGTTTCCCGTGGGAGGAAACAGAACCACAGCTGTGGACCTCATCAGTCCTGTGTTCCTGCCCAGTCTGACCTGCCAGGTAATAAATGAATCCAAAAGACATGGGGGGAAAAAAGTCCATGACCAACACTTGATGTCTTTAACTTTAACTCTTTGACAGATAACTCTCCACTACTACATTAAGGCAGCACATGGAGATCTGCAGGTTCTGGTCCAAACTCGTCCTCCTGGTCAGAGCACCGTGTTGTGGAAACATTTTACCCAAACCCAGACGTGGCAGCAGACTGACCTTCAGATTCTCAATAATCACACTTTTCAGGTCTGAAATTACTTCAAATATACATATTTAAATCTCTGCTCATTGTGGTATCACCTGGGCTGAACTGACCAATCAGAGGTTGTCTTGGTAGACTGTCCACCATTGGCCTGTCTGAGGGTATTTCGTTAGTCTGGATACCTTGACCCTCATATAAGTCATGCTCTGTCTGTCTGGGTATTCAGATGTACTGGGAAAATACTGCAGTCATTTGCCAAAAGAAATGTCAGTGTTAATTATGTTTGAAGTAAGAACATTGGCCTTCAGTGGATTCCCTTCAGGATTTAAAAATGAGAATCCATGTGTCCAGGATGTTCTCAGATGGTATGATTAAATACTTTAGTTTTTTTCTGTAAAATGATTTAAAACAATCACATACAGTATGATAAACATAATCCTGGGATTTGTTGGTGTTATTTACCAGTACCAGCCTTAACATGTCACAACTTACCATGGGCACAGACCATAATGTTACCAAAAACTGAACTAATATTTTAAATAAAGACACTTTGAAAACTTGCTAATACTTGTAAAGATAGAGCAAAGTTTACCAAAAATAGCTTAAATTAGCCCATATAGCTTAAAGTTTGCAAATGAGCTCAGCCATTTTGCTATATGCTAAATGTAGAAGATGCAGCCAAATAGCTATAGATTGGGTTGAGTTGTTGATAGCGTATATTTTACCAACATGTAAGAACACTTCTAAAGTTGTAGCAGAACAGCTTTTACAAGGCTTTATTAATCAAATGATTAATATAGCTCAACATTAGCCAACTATAATGAAAGATAAAAATAATCTGAAATATGTCTGAAAGGTTACATTTATTAAGTATTTTCTACAAATTATTCAAAATAACCTTTACCATGAAGTAAGCAAAAAAGAAGCCATATACGTGTATGTCCCACCCTTTAAATACACACATGTTTACAAATAACAAGATATGATTGTGTAGAAATGTAACAATCTGGTGTGATCTGATCTGATGTGATGTGATGTGATCTTGTCTCTGCCCAGCAGGTGGTCATCAGAGGAGAACTTTCCTCTGGCAGTGAAGCTCTTGAGGTCCTGGCTGTGGACGACCTGTCCTTCAGTCCTGGCTGCCTGACAGCACCTGGTACTGAGTGACATAAACATAATAACATAAATCAGACAACACAGTTTGGAGCCTGATCTAGGGTTAAAATACCTCCCCACATGAACAGACGGTCACAGGTCGGTCTTGAATATTGAGATGATTCAGTAGACATGGAAAAAGTCTTAACAAATCCTGTGTAGTGTTGGTCTGATTCCTGTGAAATAATCCTGTGTATGTGTTAGTAATAATTATATTATGTTATATTATAGTCATAATAATATTGAACTATTGCTGACAGTAATCCTGATGAGCAGAAGAGTTTGTTCAGTTGACACTCTAACTCTCTACATCTGATCTATTTATCACATAATATTGTGAGTATTGATTGTCCTCTTACTGCTGGTGGCAGAGAGCAGTTTACCCCCACCCACCATTTGCCCTCCCTCATGGTTTGCCTGTGATGATGGGAAGTGCATCAAGGAGAACCGAGTGTGTGATTTCAGCCCTGATTGTCCCCACGGAGAGGACGAGGCCGGCTGCCGTAAGAACTCTGTTGCTAAGTAACGCTTTTAAATAATCCACAGCTCATCACCTCTGGTATGAGAGCAGTGTGCACATTGAATATTCATCTGCACAGGGGGGCGAGAGGGGGATCACCATTTTACACAGCATTATGTCTAGAATATTCTTCCATAAACAGGTTCAACCCATAGTAGTTTACAGTCGACAGACAGCAGCTCAGATAACCACAGCTCGTCTGGCTGTTCTACCTTCCAATTGTTGCTTGTGGTCTCAACTTGACAAAATATGAAACAAATTCTGACAGTAATGTGAATCATAAGTTGTAAGAAATAAATAAATGTTTTATTGTATAATTACTTCATCTATCACTGGTAGCTGTTTAACTCACAGGACAAAATCAGCTTCATTTCCATCTCCTAATCTGCTCGTTCGTCCTTACGGTCCAGTTTATCTGGATTTTCACCAAAGTCAGAATTCAAATACTGTATGTACTGTACTCATTTTTATGCTATCACATATTCCCATCATTCCTCTCTCTCCAGCCTCTGTGTGTGACTTTGAAGATGGCTCGTGCGGCTGGTATGAGCTCACCCTTGGTGATGGTTTTGACTGGGTCAGGGCCTCATCTCAGGAGGTTCCCCCAGACTACTATAACCATTCAGCACCTTTGGACCATTCCACCAACAGCACTGAAGGTGAGGAAGGTCGTCACACAAGTCATAGACAGCGGGAGTGTCAACATTTTTCAGGCTACAGTTGCCATGATGTTGAGTTGACCACAGTGGTATTATCATTAGATAGTTGTGGTTTCATTGTGGACATAACTGCCCTGGATTTCCACCACTGCTGATGTTGTTGTTCAAATCAAAGACTGACGTATAACTTCAGTACATGAATAAGGCCACAATCAAACAAACAAACAAACACACACGCCTCTGGTTCTGTGAGGCACTACTCTATTCTGGGAATAAATCTCTAGATTTTGTAGATAGAAAAGGGAGAATGCTTGTTTGAGCCTGAAGAGAAGAGGAAATGCCTTCACGCCTCCTCATCCCCTGACACACATACACACACACACACACACACACATACACACACACCACGAGTCGTCTCACAGTGTGTGTGTGTGTGTCTCTTTACATCTAACTCGTCTTCACACCACCATCCTTCACAGACTACATCTCCTGAACAGTCACCTGACTATCACAGACCTCTGTCTGTGGTGGTCTGTGGTGGTCTGTGGAGGCATTCAAACTCTTCTTTTGTTGCGGTAGTTCCATCATTCCACCCAGAAACATAAATTCTTCACAGCACTGACTGTTTTGACCTGACCGTCCACCACACATCACTGTTTCTTCAGCCTTGACTCTTGATAAAATAAGACTGAAGGTGCCTGGAGCCTCGGTGTGCTGGTGTGAAACTCAGGAAGTATGTCACACTGGGTTTTAAACAAGGGAAGTGAAGGATGTCCTGTCTCATGTGGAAATAGTTTGGGCTAAATTAGATTAATTTCTGGGTAATTAAAGAGCAGAGGTGCTTGATTAAAATATCTGCTTTGGTACTACAACAGTGTAATATATATAATCACTTCTGCCTAATAGTAATTACACTGTACACTGCTGGAATCCAAAGTCATTAAAACAGCAGCAAATGTAAATAATTTCATCTCCTGTTATAGAACTATGTCCTACAGTTACTGATGTTCACAGTTGAAAATCAAGTAGGAAACATTTACAGTCACTGACAGGATGGACATACAGTATATATATATATATATATATATATATATATTATATATATATATACACATACATACATACATATCTGTTGTTGTTGTTGTTTCATGGACTGCAGGTCACTTCATGTTTATCCTAAAGAACAGCAGCAGTCTTCATCCCAGAGCTGTTCTCCGTGGACCTTGGTTTCAACAATCAGCTGCTGGTTGTACCATGTCCTTCTGGTGAGAGTTGTTTCTTCTTTGAAAACACTTAGAAACTGTTGACCAGGAAAAACTGAACACTTCACAATAGTTTTTTATATTTCCTGTCTCTACTTTACAAATGTTCTTTCAAATTGGATACTTTTGCTGTTTAGCAAGCGTTTCTCTTGTAGCCTTTTTTTCACAAGCTGAGGTGAAGACTCAAATGAAGGCAGTTTTATATGTATATAAATATATATATGATTTATTTATTAAATCTGTAAATACGTTTAAAAATGACTACAAGTCATTGCATTATCACAAAGGTAAACCTTATTTGGTTTAAAGCCTTTGTGTGTGTGTGTATGTGTATGTGTGTGTGTGTGGGGCCATCATAATTCATAGACCTGAACATAAAAAGAAACAGATCCACATAATACCAGTGGTTTGAGTTTGCCCTCCCCCTCCCTCCCCCCCAATCCCCTCCACAGGCATTACAACTCAGGTATATCTGTCGGGGCTGCTGACATGTACCTTCGACTCAGCAACAACAACAACAACAACACCATCATATGGAGAACGCTGTACGACCAGGGAACTGAATGGCACCAGGTGGCTTTGCAGCTTGGACGGATCACCCAACCTTTCCAAATCTCCCTGGCTAAGATCAGTCTTGGTGTGTTTGATGGTTACTCTGCCTTGGACGATATCACCTTTAAAAACTGTTCGATGCCCGTCGCTATGGATGAGTGTCCATCACACACACACTTTCACTGTGTGCACACCAAAGCCTGTGTGGAGCATCTGCAGCTGTGTGACCTGGTGGACGACTGTGGTGATGGCTCGGATGAAGAAGGATGCTGTGAGTCTGTAGGTCTTCACTGAGGTGGGACACTTCATTAGTACAGAGGGGAGAAAGGTTTTTACCACTGAAGTCAATGAAAGGAAGTTCACACTGCAGTCAAAAGTCAAGTATATAAAAATGATGCCATTAATAATAATAATAATAATACATTTGATTTGACCAAATGTATCAATTCATACACACACCAACGTATGTAGCAGACATTTTGTAAACAAAGCTGGCTGTCACGTCTTCTTCTGTCCATGCAGGTCGAGTGGAATTATACTCTAAATGAATAGCAGATCAACAGTACATTGTTGAGGAAATCATTGTGCTACTTAAACAACCATGACAGGACAACCAGACAACATGCTTTGTGCTAGGTTGACCCCAGTTTGTTCCCAGTGTTTGTGAGGGTTAAATCAGGTCACTCCAGTTAACAATAGATAAGTTCTAAACAAGGTTGATTTATGTTTTTGTTTTTTTGTTCTAAATGTTTCACAGCCACAGAACTGCAGTGTAACTTTGAGAATGACCTGTGCAGCTGGAGTCAGGAACAAAGCGGAGGAGATGTTTTTGACTGGACCTGCATCCAAGGCCCTACTCCGTCCTTCAACACTGGTCCCTGGAAGGACCACACACTGGGAACCAGCCAGGGCCGTTACCTTTATATTGAGTCGTCCGTCCCTCAGGAGTTTAAAGACACAGCCGTGTTACTGAGCCGAGCCTTCCAGCCCACCCAACAGCGGGACGTGGACTCCCGCAGGTCCCATCACCATTGTGTTTTCCGCTTTCATTACCACATGTTTGGCTCTCATGTGTTCCGCCTTGCAGTCTACATGAGGACCACATCTACAGGCCGCGGTCAGATGTTGTGGGTTCGATATGGAAACCAGGGAAACCTATGGCACAGAAAAACTCTCTACCTCAACAGTGCTCGTCCTTTTCAGGTTAGTACACAGATGAGTTAGTGTGCCTCAGGCCAGTAAGAATTAGTCCTCCAGAGATGAGTTAGGTTGACTCAGGCCAGTAAGAGTTAGTACTCCAGAGATGAGTTAGTGTGACCCAGGCCAGTAAGAGTTAGTCCTCCAGACATGAGTTAGTGTGCCTCAGGCCAGTAAGAGTTAGTCCTCCAGACATGAGTTAGTGTGCCTCAGGCCAGTAAGAATTAGTCCTCCAGAGATGAGTTAGTGTGACTCAGGCCAGTAAGAGTCAGTCCTCCAGAGATGAGTTAGTGTGCCTCAGGCCAGTAAGAGTTAGTACTCCAGAGATGAGTTAGTGTGCCTCAGGCCAGTAAGAGTTAGTACTCCAGAGATGAGTTAGTGTGACCCAGGCCAGTAAGAGTTAGTCCTCCAGAGATGAGTTAGTGTGACTCAGGCCAGTAAGAGTTAGTCCTCCAGAGATGAGTTAGGTTGACTCAGGCCAGTAAGAGTCAGTCCTCCAGAGATGAGTTAGGTTGACTCAGGCCAGTAAGAGTCAGTCCTCCAGAGATGAGTTAGGTTGACTCAGGCCAGTAAGAGTTAGTCCTCCAGACATGAGTTAGTGTGCCTCAGGCCAGTAAGAGTTAGTACTCCAGAGATGAGTTAGTGTGACCCAGGCCAGTAAGAGTTAGTACTCCAGAGATGAGTTAGTGTGCCTCAGGCCAGTAAGAATTAGTCCTCCAGAGATGAGTTAGTGTGCCTCAGGCCAGTAAGAGTTAGTACTCCCTTCATTCCAATCATTGACAGTGGTTCTGTCAGCTGACCAGGTCCATGCTGCAGCCCTCCACGTTTGACACATGATGTTGTTGTGTCCTCCATCTCAGATGGTTTAACTCTGTCTCAGTTTATTGTCAATGAAGCCAGTAGTAAAGGGAAGCACAATGTTAATACTATTATTAAATTCAGATATGGATACAAAAACACAGGTTTCTGTTGCAGACGTAATCATGTTCTGGAGATGTATGCTCTGCTGTCATTATCTGTAAGTGACTTTTGGCAGGAAAAAATGTTGTCAAAATAATGGCCTGTGCTAGGAGAAAAATTGAAAAAATGATGAGATAAGTAAAACTCTCTCCCACGTCCACTTACCTGAACAACGTCATTTAGAGATTTGTTTTGTTAAAGCTGCAGTCTGACTCCATTCAGTCAATATTTACAAATTACGTTCCTGGCAACGATGCAACAGGCCAAGTTGACCACAAACATGACTTATCTTCCAAAAACCTTTAAAGCTAATGATTGGTTGCTTTGGAAAGCTGGGAAGATAAACTCATTGGTATATTTTGATATCTGAAATGAATAGCTCTTCTAGCTGCCAATAATAAGTTCATTTTCCCTTTGAAGGCTAGTCATTAGTGGGTGTTAATTCATCAAGGACAATCTAATGTCTTAAAAACAAAAAAAAGTTGTTGTGTAGTACAGATGTTTTCACTTGGTTTCTGAAGCTGACTGTGGTTGAAGAAACATCAGCTGAAGATAGCTTCTTTTTAGCTTTAACTTCTACATCCAGAATATTTGTAGTCAAATAAACAATTGATTTTAAACTTTCCTGTAAAAGATATAAGCAGCCAATTTAGCTTTTATATTATTTTTGCACATGTATTTTTTCCTGATGAGGATCAACACATCATTAATGTGTTCAACAATGTTTGGCTCACTCTTAGTTTCTCCTTAGCTATACTGTTGACTTACTATCGACAGTATTTGCACCCAGCTTTTTGGTTAGTACAAATTAAAATAGTTCTAGTATAACCCTAGGGCATTTTTTAGACAGAGCCTTATGTTCATTTAGCTAATTGCTAACATTTAACTTCTTTGACATACTGTATATTTAAATAATGTTTCTAACTCTGAGCTACTTCAGGCCACCTTCTGGGCTAATGGCAACCCCACTCACTGTGTTTGTTCTAAAACCACATTCAGAGACGTGGAACGTGTCAACCTGACCTTTAAGGGCTCTTTTCGTCAGCTTGAGGTACAACTTTTCAAAGTTATTTCATTTTTTGTCCCAAGGTTTTAATCGAAGGCACAGTTGGAGATGATTTCCACGGAGACATTGCCATCGACGATCTCTCCTTTCTGGACTGTGTCCCTTACCAAGGTGAATACCTGACAACACCACACGAGGAAGCGTTGAGTAGGCCAGCTCATTTTTGATTTTTATTGTGTCATATTTAAGGAGAGCTGCCTGCGGTGAATGCCACAGTCCCCACAGTGACAACTTCACCCACAACAGCCCTGTCCCACACCTGCCTTCAGGGAGAGTTTGTATGTGGATCACATGACCAGTGTGTGCCCCAGAACAAAAAGTGTGACTTCAGAGCTGACTGCTCTGATGGCTCTGATGAAAAATACTGCGGTGAAATGTTTTTTCTCTATTTCATTATATTTCTTTTTGCCCTCTCATTTCCTTGCCCTCATCCTTGTTGCCCCTTTATCCTTCTACAGTTGAGAAGCTGTGTGGTTTTGAAGGCGGAGACACTTGTGGTTGGATGCGTGCCGACCCTTCTTTAGTACCAAGCCACGCGTTCCGCTGGTCACCTGATCAAGGGGAAAGTATTCACGATGGAGAACAATACCATCGACCAATAAATGATCACACTTTGTGAGTACCAGAAGTCAAACCAGAGGGTTAATGTGTCTTTAGACTAATGAATATTAATAGACTAATCCACATCTTTGATCTTCTTCTTTCATCCTCTCGTTTAATTGTTCTTAAAGAAAAGACATAGAGGTGGTGCTCTTACAGTATATGTGGTCTGTTAATGGTCCACAGACCTGATGGTCCTTATCTGTGATTTATTGACCCTGGGGTAGGTGCAGTGGACTTTGACTACCAATTCCCAGCTGAAATGGAATCCCGGTCTGAAGTCCAGTCTGGACCGGCTTTTATTTATATTAACAAACCCTATGTTGCATTTAATGACCATAAAACTAAACTAAACTTAAACATAAACTGTTCTGTATGCCAAGTTGAACCATATATTTAGAACTCTGTTACACATTTTAATTTATACATTTTTCTTTTGCCCTGGAGCCAATCACATCAAAACCATGAAGTACCAGAAGTTGCATTAATGGTAACAAGTATTTTCTGTAATGGATTGCTTCAGTAAAACAATATTATTAAAAAAAGAAGAGAAAAATCAGAGACTTATTATTGTTGGTCCTGTTTAAAAATTCACACATTCAGTTGTAAAATAATATATTGTATAGCTCTATAATACATTTATTAAAATATGTGACCTTTTTGGTTCTCTGCTAAAAAGGTTCCCGACTCCTGATCTAGACTCTAGCATGTTTATGTGTGGTGGTGGTCCACATGGACAGTGAAATTCTGACCTGTTCCCAGTCCTGTTGAATGAGTGTATGTTGACACAGACTTGTCTGTGACAGAGGCAGCCCTGATGGTTGGTACATGTACGCAGACAGCTCCAACGGTGGCTACGGACAAACCTCTGACCTCATCACACCAGTCATCTCTTCCACTGGGCCACATTGTACCCTGGAATTCTGGTACCATTTGAGTGGGTTCACAGTGGGGTCTCTGCAGGTGGGTGGGAGCAGCCACTCTATATGAGACCAGTCCTTGTTTGAACATTGTCTTAGTTCTCTTGACTTTGTTACACAGGTCCTGTTGAAGTACCAGAACCTCACTCATGAAGTCTGGTCACAAACTGGTAACCAAGGCAACAGGTGGCGACGAGGAGAAGTTTTTCTGGGGTTTTTAAACAACTTTCAGGTTTGTGTAAAACTAAAACACAGTACATTAACTGTATTATTACTGTACTACCCATAATAATAAAAACCTTACACGCAGTGGAACCTGGGTTTTAGAACCTCATTTGTTTCTGAAGGTCGTTCATGAACAGAAAAACTGGAACCATTTTCTTCTCCATAGTTCATCAATGTGGATGATTGGATGAATCGGTTCCTGGTTCCTGGATGGTTGCTGATTCAAACTTTTTCAACACTATTTTGTGAACAGGTTTAAAAAGGAAACCAATGAAAATACTTAGATCTAACAAAAAGATCAACACAAGTGAATAAAGAATGAAGCTATAATTAGGAGAAGTGATTTCATTGGTCCTTACGGCTGCTGAGGAGTCCTGATTGGACAATGTTCACTTCACTTTCTCACTAATGATTGTCTCTGAAATCCTGTGGTCAGCCGACTGTTAGTGGTTGATCCAGATCAATGTCAACTTTTCCACTTCTTCTACTGTCTCTGATCTTTTCTTGGTGATCACAGTCACTCCTCTGAACCTCAGCTTCTTTTATTGATTCTTCTTCTTCTTTGCTCAGCCAAACTGTAAAGACTCATCTGAAACTCCAGCTCCAGCTCTATCATCTTTCCTACAATCTTTCTTCACTTCTAGTGTTGTTCTCACTACTGTTCTACTGTTCTACTTCTACTGTTGATTCTGGTTTGCCTTTCTGTCAGAGTCCCCTGGTGTGCTATCATCTTACCTACAATCTTTCTTCACTTCTAGTGTTGTTCTCACTACTGTTCTACTGTTCTATTGTTGATTCTGGTTTGCCTTTCTGTCAGAGTCCCCTGGTGTGACCTTTCTGTCAGTGTCACCTGGTGTGACCTTTCTGTCTGAGTCTGATGATGTTTTGATAACAGACAGGACTTCTTTTTCAGGTGAGTCTGATGATGTTTTGATAACAGACAGGACTTCTTTTTCAGGTGGTTTTCAGGGCTAAACGCGGGATCAGCTACATGGGTGACGTGGTGATAGATGATGTCAGCTTCCTGGACTGCCCTCCTCCACTTCCTGTATTTCAGCCATGTTCACCTGAGCAGTTCGCCTGTTCCAATGAGCACTGCATCCCTCAGGAGAACTTGTGTGACTTCATCAACCACTGTGGGGACCACTCAGACGAGGACCCTTACATCTGCAGTGAGACCTCCCCTGCTCCCTGACCTTCAGTTGACCTTTGGGCCTGACATGATTGGTCTGAATGCTGTCTTTCAGAGGGCTTCAGTGGATGCTGCAGTTTTGAATTCGACCTCTGCTCCTGGCGCCAGTGTCCTGACGATGACTTTGATTGGCGCATCAAAGCAGGCGGCACTCCAACAGTTGGCCCGGGGCCATCCACTGACCACACTATAAGGGAACCCTCGGGGCACTTCCTCTACCTGGGCAGCTCCTTCCCTCACTCGGGTGGACAAGTGGCCCGTATATCTGGACCTGTGCTCAGCCACCGCAGCTCACAGTGCACGGTGAGGTCAAAACAGCAGTCGGAGCCACATTGTAGTGTAAGCCACAAACTGTAGGTGGTATATACAGTATGTATTTAACACATATAAACACATAAACATATAATATATAAACACAGTCTGTGTTTATTTATATATATATATATATTATATTTATATACTCTGCTCAGAGGCAGGAGCACTGGTGTCAAACAAAGAAAAATAGGATAGCGTCAAAGTGCTAAAGGACCAGCTGTTTCAGCAGAAGGATCTGACTTCACCATGGCAATAGTCCTTACATCTGTAACACATCTGTAATGGGGTGGGGCGGGGCTTGAATCAAGTGAAATGATCATTATACAGTACAGTAAGAATAAATCACCTGAAGAGGAAGTAGAATTTGATCGTAAGAAATCGTTACAAGAACGTCAACCAAAACCCCCCCAGACAAGTGCGTGAGGGACACAAGGCAAAAGGTCAAAGGAACGGCTCATTCCTTATATGGTCAACTCATTGTCTTCTTCTGTGTCTGTCCTCCAGATGCGTTTCTACATTCACATGTCAGGAGACGGCATTGGAACACTCAGTGTCTTCAGGAAAAGTGAAGGACACCTGGATCTTCTGCTCAACCTCACAGGAGACCAGGGCACCTTCTGGCAGATGAAGGAAGTCCCTCTGAGCCACAGCAGTGACTTCCAGGTCCAGTTTGAGGGGAAAGTGGGAAAAAGCCCTAAGGGGGACATCTGTCTGGACGACATCACCTTCTCTCCAGGATGTCTGCACTTGTCCTCACCCAGATTAGAGGACAGCAGTCCTGCACCCCCTACAGGTAGACGTTTTTAAAAAGAGTATTTCCTGGATGTTTCCCTTTTGTCGTTTCTCAGCTTCCTCTTGGTCTCCTCCCTGTCCTCCTAGTCCTCCCTGTCCTCGCTGTCCTTCTAGTCCTCCCTGCCCTCCTAGTCCTCCCTGTCCTCTCTGTCCTTCTAGTCCTCCCTGCCCTCCTAGTCCTCCTAGTCCCCCCCCCTGCCACCTAGACCTGACCTTGAACCAGGAAGGGAATCCTGTGTAAAAAAAAGACAGTGGTGAACTGGTCACAGTGGTGACCCCTGGTGGAGGGACTGGTCTTCAACTTCATCTCCAAATCGGTTGTGATTTTAAGAACCTTTCTGTTCAGACACAGGTTTGACTTTCTTTGTATAAAATTCTACTTGGCAACAGTTGAGAAGTGCTGTGGATCAGTGGTGGCTCTCCCTCCCTCACCCCTCCTCACTGTCTCCCTGTATCGGTGTCTCTGGCTGTCAGAGTGTCCTCCTCCTGTGCTGCAGTCCACACGTGGTTATTAATGTCTCCTCTGTCTTTAAAGTCCACACAGTCTGTGTCCTGCTCCGTCCCTGTTTGGACCTCTGAGCAGGGACTTTAGTTCCACCGTCTCCGTCTCTGTTACTGTCTGAGGAAGTGACATCAGCATGGACACAGCCTGTAGACAGGATAGAATAGAGCATTTCGCATACTGTATAAATATAAACATGAATGGGCCTTGAGCCTCCACGGTCAAGGTCATGTCAGAGACACTCAGGTCGAGTCCACACAGTCCTAAGTCGGTTTTCTTTATTTTACATTAAATTTAATTTTGTTAACTTGTTCTGTGTCAATGTTACTCATTGTTAAAGCAAGTAAATCATTGAACTGTTTTCACACTGGGGCTCATTTGACCACCAGAGGGCAGTGTGATGCTCAGGGTATCTAACTTTACAGCAGGGCTTTTTGCACCCTAATCCAGACAGTGATGGAGTTCTTGTCTGTCCCTGATCCATGGAGGACAAATGTCCACAGGTAAAGAACTGTGGGACACTCTTCTGGGAACAGAGATTTATTCTGGGCTTCAAACATTTACATTTCTTTGAAATAAATCCACATCCAGCTCTGAGTGGCTGCTCCACCGTTGGCACTGAAACTTCTTGGCTTCACAGTCGGAGGCCCTAGCTTCCTTTCTGCCTTTGTTGGAGCTCATTGCTTCTGGTCCTGTGCATCTGAAGAGGAACAAAAGATGAGGAGGAACTTATACCCTTTTCTCAGTTTTTAAATACAAGGACCCCCACCCACACTCCCCCACTTCATCACGCCTCATGTACCTCTCTAATGCTCCCCAATCCCAGACACTGGATTTACTGGAATCTCTGGCACCAAAGTGAAACAGAGTCCGTCCTCTGGACTCAGTTCCAGATCTGCATGTTCTAGATCTTTGAACACAACCAGCCAGCTGGGATTTGAACCTGCGGTCTTCCCAGTATAGCCACTAACCCACAGGTTGGCCCTCACCAAGTGAAGTCATTAGAATTTTCTTCTCCCACATTTAATGCACAGAACAAATATTTTTTACTTTTTATAAATACAACCATTTTGTCCACTGCAACTGAAAAACACAACCTTGATGTGTCAGATTATTCTTTTATTATTCTTTCCTCCTTAATGTTTCTATTAACTAATAATAATAATAATAATAATAATAATAATAATAACAATAATAATGCATTTTGTAAACAACATTTTTTATTCTAAGGTTAGGTTAAGGTTAAACCTTGAAGGATATGATGAAACTTTCTCTGGATCTTTACCTCCAGACTCCTGTCCTCCTGACTCTCTGTCCTGTGAAAACGGACGCTGTTTCATGGCTATGCAGAGCTGCGACTTCACAGACGACTGCGGCAATGGCACTGATGAGAAGGATTGTGGGACTTCCTGCAGCTTTGAGAGCGGTCTCTGCGGTTGGAGGAGCTCCTTGGCCGATAATTTTGATTGGACCCTTGGGACCGGATCGTTGCAGAGCATACGACCTCCGTACGACCACACGCTGATGGATGAACATGGTATCAAACTCACACGTCTGCTTTTTTTTAAAATTTTTGTTTATTGGCAACTGGACCGTTGTCAATATTGAATTAAAACTTAGAAACGTTATCAACATATATTCCAGACTGGTCCATACTGTACATATATTGAGCTGCTTCTTTTCTGTCCTTTCATATTAGAGAAGTCTATAATGTAGAGAGTGTTATTACATGAAGTGCTTTGAAGAAATTAAGACTTTAAAGGGTTCAAATGTCCTGCTTTAATTTACTTCCCATTTTGTGTTTCTGCTGTTTCTCCTTCAACTGTTCTGAAAACTACAACTGTTTTCACTATTAGCGCTCCGTTCATTGACATGGTCTAGAATAAACCTAAAGACACGGTGCTGGTTCACAGTGGTGGTTCTGGAAACCTACCTGGGTCGGAAGGTTTCAGGTTAAAATCCACCAGCTGCCAAGTTAGCACTGAGCGTGGCACCGTCCCCACACACTGCTGCTCCCCCTCCCCCCAGAATGTGCTCTGTCACAATGACAGGTAGTTCACTTACATTCGTATTTTTTCAGATGTTTTCAAGAATTAATGAGAATCAACATCTCCTTTTATAGCACTCACAGGGGAGACACTAGAAATTAATTAGTCACTGGAACTCACCGGTGGTTTCTCTGCTTCACTGCCTCCAGTGTGAAAAACTGGCTGCAGCACTATGCTTGAATGAAGGGCTCGCAACCTGTGGCTCCTGTACCACATGTGGTTCGTGGGCCTCTGTGAATGGACCATAAAAAAAATATTAGTGCTGTGGATTTTTACAAATATCTAATTTTAAATGATTAATTAAACAATTTCAGAATGTTTAGACTTTACTGTTAGTATTATGTAAAAATAAGCTCACCTCATTACATCGGTTTAAAATGTTTATGATCATGTTGTGTTATTCAATTGCAGGTTAATTTACAACAAACCTAGAGAACAGAAGCTCACAGAGCCATAGAGAGAGAGTGTCATGGCAGTTAGACATTTAGGAGACTATTCTGTCACCCCCTGACCCCTTGACCCCCTGTCCTCCTGCAGAGTGCTGTCACTTCTCTGTCACAGAATTAGTTTTTCTTGCTCTCTTTTTCACCTTTTCACCTTTGTGTCTCATCTCCATTTTTTTAGGTCATTTCGTCTACCTGGAAGCTACGCCAGTGGGACTTAGAGGTGATAAAGTTCACATGAGAAGCTCTGTGTGGAAGGAATCTAGTGCCATCTGTAGACTCACCTTCTGGTACTACATTTCCCACAAGGCCTCTGGAACCATCCGGCTGCTGATCAAGGTAGAGCAGGAGAATGAAGAATCTCCCTGTCAGTCATAGTTCAGACATTCAACCATGCTGATAACAATAAGTCATGATGATGTGGAGAGCCCAGGGGGCACCCTGAGGGTCTCTGGTGCCACCGTCTGATTGATTGGACAGCTGTGTGGAGACCATGCTAACTTATGGGTTCTGCTCAGACAAACGTGACCTCAGTACATTAAATGATAATGTCCAGGCCTACTGGTCTGCTGAAAGATAGATGTCAAATTAAATATGTTCTCTCATCAAAACACAGAGTGCATTTAAGTCAACTGCATTTTGAAAAATTCTCCCTAGGACTATTACACCAAAGTGCAAAGATACAACAATATTTTCACTCTAGTCCTACAGCATAATAGTGAATCAAAACAAAGATTTCATTGGCCCATATGTGAACCGTAGGAACAACAAATGCACCAAGAACTGTGCAAAAATGGTAAACAAATATTTAAACACGGCCTATCCTCGTGTGTGCTGCTTTATTCCCTCATCTCAGTAATGATGTTTCTAATGTGGATCAAGTAGAGTGGTGATGAAGTTCAGAGGATCAGAATAAATCTGAGTTAAACGTGTGCAGACAAACATCTCTCTCCTGCAGCTGAATGCCCCACACAGTGTATTTAATTTATTAACATCATATGTTTGTCTTATTTTTCCATTCTACAACTCTACTGTGAACATAACTGTGTGTGAAAGGGTGACACAGTCTAGGGAGGTGGGTGTGTGTGTGGGGGGTGGGGGTCGTAAAGGCTAAATATATACCAATAATACAATAACTATCTCACCTTTGCAGATTTTCCCTTTTAGCGGTTGATCTTAGAACGCTAATAATAATTTTGTTTTACTGAAGCGATCCAATACATAAAATACTTCTGAGCATTAATGTGACTTCTGGTGCTTCATGGTTTGTTGTGATTGGCTCCAAGGCAAAGAAAATAATGTATGGATTAAAATGTGTCACAGAGTTATAAATATATGGTTCCACTTGTCATACAGAACCCTAACCTTCATTTATTTATTGTCAGTCTTAATGAGTGGACTCTCCACACACACACCACCCCCACTTTGGGAACCACTGCCAGCTGTTAACACTGTACCTTGTCACTTCTGCTCCTCTCCACAGCAGGACAATGACTTGGTTGAAGTGTGGAATAAAACTGGACCTCAGGGGAACCGGTGGAACCAAGCTGAGGTTCCTCTCAGGAAGTTGAGGAATTTTCAGGTGATTTTTGAAGGAATTCGCTCCATGGACGTGAGTGGAGGAGCTGCAGTGGACGACCTGGAGTTCGTGGACTGTGCTCCGAGTAGGTGACGATCAGGGGCAAGTGTCACAATCAGAATCAGAAATGTTTTTATTGCCAGGTAGTTTTTCACCTATAAGGAATTGGATTTAGCCACAGTGCAGCGGACAAAGACAGGAGGGTCAAGGTGTAACATGTGACAGGACAGCAGTTATACAGTACTACAGTCACACTACAGTAGATGAATACAGCACTTCTGCAGTCGGCTTCAGAAATGCAGCGAAGGTTTATCTGAGAGTCAGATGCAGTCATCAAAAAAGCCACATCTGGCTTGTGAGCCATAGGTTCCTGACCACATGTCTAAACCATAAATATATTTCTAATTATTATTTATAAAGTTGTGATATAAATAAAGCTGGCACAGAGAGTGAGACAGATGTTCTGTCTGATGTTTTTCTTGTCTTTCAGACACTGTGCTTCCTGTCAGTTGTCCTTCAGCCACAGACTTTTTGTGTCAATGTGGCGACTGCATCCAGTCCCACCTGGTGTGTGACAACAAGGCCGACTGCAGGGATGAATCAGACGAGACGGACTGCAGTGAGTAAAAACATATTTTTCTGTGAGGCTGTATACTTTTTCACCCACATGACGTCTCTCTGTCCGTCCGTCCGTCACCGTCTCTGTTTGTAGATCACACAGTTGCTACTCCTGGTTCCTGTAACTTCAACGGAGACGAAGACCAGTGGGAGCAGAAATGTCAGTTCTTTCAAGACCAGGATGATGACTTTGACTGGAGGATAGGTCAGAGGACTGAGACACCGGGATCTGGACCAGACTCTGACCACAGCCCAGGTCAGTTCTTACTGTTCTCTGAGGCTTTTCTGCCCAGACCATTGGTAAGTACTGTATATACCTAGTAAATAGTTTCTACAATATAATGTTAATGTATGAAGC